GACTTTCACTTTGAACCATAGGTAATGGTTCCTATTGCAGGATGCCACATGCATCCCACTGCCAGTCTGCCTCCTCACTGCGATTCTTCCAGCCCTGGCAATTAACAGGAAAACCTGTCCATATCTCCCAATCCAACCATGTTCCCATCATCTACTTTGCTGTGATGAGTCCTTTCCACTTCTTTGTTGGCATGCTGGAAAGAAAGCAATGCCAGAGAATCAGATTCCCCCCCCCCCCCCCACACACACACACACACTATTCCAAATCTGGTTTACATTTATTTTATATTTTATAGTTATATTTGCCTTTTTTGTTAGTTTTTCAAAGCTAGAATTGCAAAGTTGACCAAAATAAAAAAATGGAACAGCAACAATGTGGGGGCGCCAGGTTATAAGAGCTGAAGAAGTATGATTGCAGGACCACATATGGTCAAATCAGTGCAATTGCGCCATTGTCAAATCAGTGCTTTTGCACAACTGTCAAATCAATGCAATTCTGAAATTGAAGAGTGGTGTCATATTTAAGTTGCTCAGCCCAGTATGTGTCCACTGTCAGAGATTGTGCAGCTGTTATGAAATAACAGGTTTGTGTGATAAAGTTATTAGTGTACACAATGTTTTCTGAGATAGAAACAGGCAGTTCCCTTCCCTAAAATGATGAACTGTACCAAGTTGAAGTTAAAGGCACAGAAGGCAAATGTGGTGAGTATTGTATTCTCTTTTAGCCAGAAGAGCTACAGAGACAGACAGAAACTTAATACAGTTCCACCCATGACCTGGAGATTAGGATCCAGAACTGGAGTTTAATGAAAGACACAACTTAAGTCATTTTCAGATTGAAATGCTGTCAACAGGCAGAATATAACTCTGGGAAACCACATTCCCTTGATACCCCAGTGAAGATCTAGAACAAAGTAGAGAGCTCAAATTCATTAATCTCATACACAACAAAGTAAAAACTATACCGTTTCCCCAGGAGTGTAGAGCTGAAGGTGTAGCTTTAGCAAACTGAAAATACCACACAAAATGCAACACCTCAGCATCTGTTATTTATTCATAATCCTGTGTTTCTATGGGAATTAGATTTCCAGACAGGCTCATTGCTTTTTGCAAAGTCATACTGAGAAAAACTAATATATCAAGTTTCTAAACAACAGAGTAAACTCTATTGTAAAGCAGTAACTTTTTTGAAGGGGACAAATAGGAATCCTGACTGAATTGCAAATTGCAAGTTTATGGTCTTGCTAATTTTCTATCCATAAACCAGGGATATCAAAACTGTTTTAAGGGAGAGAGATTCAATATGGGTAGATAGACCATTATAATTTTTACCTACTTGCAGGCACTTTTTTAACAAAACAATGAAAATAGGATTACGTACATAATAGTTCCAAAAGCACCTTCCCCTGTCCCCTATAAAGGCCAAACCCCGCTGCTCCTCCTTCTCAGGCTCCTCTCTTACAAATGCAGTTTTTATCCCTAACTCACCCAGGGTTTCAACCTTTTAACATTTTATCACATACATCTGGCCCGCCCTTTGTGTTTGATTTTATTATGCCGTTTTATATTGTTTATTTTATTTGTTATTTTATATATTTTCTTATGATGTATTTCCCTGTTATTTTGTGTCTAATTATGTTGTATTATTTTGGGCTTGGCCTCATGTTAGCTGCCCCGAGTCCCCTTTGGGGAGATGGTGGTGGGTTATAAATAAAGATTATTATGTATTGTCGAAGGCTTTCATGGCTGGAATCACTAGATTCTTATGGGTTTTTTCGGGCTATAGGGCCATGTTCTAGAGGCATTTCTCCTGACGTTTCACCTGCATCTATGGCAAGCATCCTCAGAGGTAGTGAGGTCTGTTGGAATTAGGACAATGGGTTTATATATCTGTGGAATGGCTGGGGTGGGGCAAGGAGCTCTTCCCTGCTGGAGCTAGGTGTGAATGTTTCAACTGACCACCTTCATTAGCATTTGAAGGCCTGCCTGAGCCTGGGAAAATCCCCTGTTGAGAGGTGTTAAGATGTGCCTGGTTGTTTCCTCTCTGCTGTTTTGCTGTTGTAATTTTAGAGTTTTTTAATACTGGTAGCCAGATTTTGTTCATTTTCATGGTCTCTTCCTTTCTGTTGAAATTGTCCACATGCTTGTGGATTTCAATGGCTTCTCTGTGTAGTCTGACATGGTGGTTGTTGGTGTGGTCCAGCATTTCTGTGTTCTCAAATAATATGCTGTGTCCAGGCTGGTTCATCAGGTGCTCTGCTATGGCTGACTTCTCTGGTTGAAGTAGTCTGCAGTGCCTTTCATGTTCCTTGATTCGTGTTTGGGCTCTGCGTTTGGTGGTCCCTATGTAGACTTGTCCACAGCTGCATGGTATACGGTAGACTCCTGCAGAGGTGAGAGGATCCCTCTTGTCCTTTGCTGAACGTAGCATTTGTTGGATTTTCTTGGTGGGTTTGTAGATTGTTTGTATGTTGCATATTATTTGTCCACATGCTTAGAAACCAGATACAGAATTTGGAAGTAACATGGCATTATAGGGGATCACAAAGGTGTAGCACAAAAACTGTAGAAACTAGCAAGGATATTGTTTTGTGCGATAATTTAACATTTCTTTTTATATCTGGTGCACTGTTTTGGAGGGCTTTAAAGACATTTTTATTTTACGTTTTTTAACAAATTAAAAAGTTATTTGTTAACAGTGCTGAACTAATGTGGTAAAGCAAACACATTGATAAAGTAACAAGTAAAAACTTACAGACTACACTGAAGAAGTGATTGCAGAAGCACAACTTAAGATGTTACTTTTTGAACACAGCATTTTAAGTTCAGATCACATAATATCACAGTGGATATGAGTGCTACATATGGATTTTCATCTCTTGCTTTGAGCATCCACTAGCAATCTCATGCATCATGGCAAATCCGGTGGTGCCGGTGGGAGGTGGGAGTAACTTGTTGCCCCACAGCCCGCATTGCCTGGTTTTGCCCCACCTCATCCCACGGGGGAAGTGTCCATCACCTGGCTTCCTCTTCATTGACTCCAATTGAACATGTGAAGCCTCCCATGTTGCCTCCTGGGCAGCATGCATCAATTCCTTTATAGTTTTGCGACAGAGCCCCACCAAAATAGTTCTACATTGTGGGATGGGAGCTGGCGAGCTCCATTGTAAAGTTTTACAATAGAGGAACCAGCAAAAAGTACCCCATCTGATGAAGTTGATGATCAGGCATCTGAATGTAGCATCTACTTTAGGGAGGCTATTATATGTAAGGTGAAGATAGGAATATGTCATAACATGTTGAAGCATGTTGAACCAAGCCATCATCTCTCCATTATATGCTTAATGTATTGATTTAGATTTGGTTTATCTCCAAAATTATGAGTGCTGATTTGAAAAAAGTTTCACCACAAGACTTTGGAACTAGTACTTGGCAAGAGGGGATAAAACATCTGACTGGCTTTAAATGAAAGAGAAGCCTCCTGAGACCTAACTAAGCTTGTATATGCTCTGCACAGTTTTGCCTTCTGGCTGACTGCCCTTAGGAGTTTTCCTGGAGCTAGAGTGACTCATGCTATGCTGCACCCTGCTTTCTTAATTTTTGTTTCATTTTATCTGTGCAGCCCATGATTTCTGGAATTATTTCCTCATTTCCTTTCCTGAAAGTGTTTCGTCAAAGTTGAGTTTTTATTGGCAATTTTTTTCACCTCACTCACACACAAAATAAGGATGTCCTCAGCAGGAGCTTAAGTTTAAAATAATGTGTGTGTGTATTAAAAGAATAAGGTACTCCCGTGCTTTTTGTAAAATTTACTCATAACCAAGCTGGTCCAGAATGGGACCATTGGGTCTGTCAACTACTTGCTATATTGCTGCATCTGCCTCTCAGAAAAGTAACAAAAACAATATTCAGTACTGTTCAATTATTTGGGTGGACTCCAAAAGGGGACCTAGAGAGAGAAGGATAGTCCATATTTGGGAGGGGGGGGGGTTGAAGGAGGACAACCACTTCCCCCATTTTCACTGGTTATTCCCCCTCTCTACTTCGAATTGTTGCCTCTGTAAGCCTCCCTGAGTCGCCCGAAAGGCTGATAAGGGCAGTATACAAATACAGTAAGTAACTAAGTAAATAAATAAATACTTCCCACATCATGAACGGCAACATGGGTCGGGGAATAACAGGAAAACAGGGGAAATGGTTATCCTCTTTCAACTCACCCTCCACCCCCATAAAATGGGCTATCCTTCTCTCTCTAGTATCTCCTTTTGGCCTCTTCCAGGATATTGCAAAAGATATTCTCTCTCTCTCTCTTCCTTTCCACATCCCATCCTGCCTAAATATTTATTCCCTTTTATCTCCCTTTCCCTCTCGCTTCTTCTTCTTTTAGTATTTTCCTCCGTCACAACTCTTGCTTATACTTTCCCTCATCCCCTAGCCCAGCAGTTCTCAACCTGGGGGTCATGACGCCTAGAGGGGTCGATCAGCCATATGAGAGGGGTTGCACCACTGCCTCCTTCACCTCCACAGAATGGCTGCCAGACCCCGCCTTCTCTTTTCTATCCCTTTCCTTTTTTATCTCATTCCTGCTCTGCTGGGCAGTAGCAAGAGGCGGCCTCTCAACACCACTCTAGCCTCGTGCTGTGTGTGGCCACTTGCACTGTCTGGGGCCTTGTGCTGAGCCTACTCTTCAGCTGCACCCTCTTGAGCCCAGCCAAGTGGTGTCGGGTGAAGGCCTTAGGGCCGCTCCCCTAGGCCTTGAGCCAGGGAGGAGAAGCAGGAGCAGCTAGAGGCCTCTCTGCCTCCACCACATTGCCCATGCTGGTGCAGGCACTGTTTCAGCTACTGTGCCTGGCTGAGGCAGGCCAGGCCTTGCCCAGGCACAATCACTGTGACAGCGCCTACACCAGCATGGGCAGCACAGTAGCAGTGGAGGCAGAGAGGCCTCCTCCTGCTCCTCCTCCCTGGCTCGAGGCCTGGTGGACCAGCCCCAAGGCTTCCTCATGACACTGCTAGGCCAGGCCCGAGAGGTTGCAGCACAAGAGCGGCCTCAGCACGAGTCACTCCAGTTCCTCCAGTGGCAAGGCCTGCTTCCCCTGGCCTGCCAAGGCCACTCCAATGCTAAACAAGGCCTCCAAGCACACGCCGTAGGACCCCTCTGCCTTCAGAGCCACCACTGGCTGAGACATCACCTGGCCCGGCTCTGCCACCTGGGCTTGAAGGTCACCACCATGCTGGCCTCGGTGTCAGGCCCCGATGGTAGGCCAGTGAGTGGGTGAACTATAACTCCCAACTTCTGAGGTCAGTCCCCTCGAAATCCCACCAATATTCAAAGTTTGGCATGTTGGGTATGTGTGGAAAGTTTACTAGTTCCATCAGCAGTTTGGTACAGAGTGCTCTCTGTTGGTGAACTACAACTCCCAGAATTCAAAAACTGCCCTCCCAAACCACACTTCCAAATGACAAAATCAGCCTTCCCAAGCCCACCAGTATTCAAATTTCGGTGTATCAGGTATTTGTGCCAAATTTGGTCCAAAAGTCATACTATCTGATGAGGTCATTAGTGTCCTGAGTCTGAAAGGACTTGAAAGCACACAACAATAAACTTTATTAACTTGACTATCTCTTCAGCCAAAAGCAGGCCCACACTTCCCAGAGAAATACTGGTAAGTTTATTTTGGCTACAACTGTTCTTCATTTTAAATATTGTATTGTTCTTTCTTTCTTTCTTTTGCATTACAAATAAGATATGTGCAGTATGCAAAGGAATTTTTTCAGACTATAGTCCTCCCCTGCCCCCAACAGTCTGGGGGACTGCAAACTGGCCCTTCGATTTAAAAGTTTGAGAACCTCTTGTCTAGTGTTATACATCTATACACAATCCCTACATATTGTCTAGTCCAGGGGTCCTCAAACTTTTTAAACAGAGGGCCAGGTCGCAGTCCCATAAACTGTTGGAGGGCCGGATTATAATTTGAAAAAAACATGAATGAATTCCTATGCACACTGCACATATCTTATTTGTAGTGCAAAAAAACCCACTTAAAAGCAATACAATAATTAAAATGAAGTACAATTTTAACAAATATAAACTTAATAGTATTTCAATGGGAAGTGTGGGTCTGCTTCTGACTGATGAGATAGGATTGTTGTTGTTGTTGTGTGCTTTCAAGTCGTTTTAGACTTAGGTTGACACTGAGCGAGGGCCGGGTAAAAGACCTTGGAGGGCCATATCTGGCCCTCAGGCCTTAGTTTGAGGACCTCTGGTCTAGTCTATGGGACATGAAGGGACTGTGAATGTTTCCAGCTCCCCAATTACTGGGAAGCAGCTGCTCTGATCAATGAGAATCTGTTTGGTTGTCTTTCAGGAAGCAGTTAACATTCTCTTCTCCTTTATGTCAGTGATCTCCAATACAGAGGAATTACAAAAGCAATCTTCCTGTTGCTTACAGAAAGGAGCAAGATAACTAGATTTACTGGCAGAGCACTTTTGAAATAAGGTTGAAGGGGAAAATTGCTGACTTCCCTTCAGTCCGTTTTCACAGTGGCCTTGCTTTAAAACTAGCCTATGATTAAAGCTCTAGCATAACAAAATCAGAAAAATAACAAAAATAAAATACAGCATGCAGATAGCCTACGCTTGGAAACAATGAACTGCCAAAGAAGTGCATCAGCAAAATGCTTGAGCAAGACATGATACTCTTGCAACAGAATAGAAAGCAGAAAAGCAGTATAGGCTACAACCTGAGGGTGCCAGCAACAGAGAATGTAATAGTGTCAGTTGATATGCATAAAAAGTTCAACAACACATTAACTACTTTATCAAATGGGCTGCCAGAATCTTCATTCATTGTGGTGAATCCATTGATGCCCATCGCCCCAAACCCCACTCATCCATCACCCCATCCCACGGGGCCACCCAGCTCCCCCCCCCCCCCAATTGATCTCAATTGAACTTGGGAAGCCTCCCATGTTGCTGCCACCACTGCATACGCTGGTTTGCCTTTTCCTTTTGGAAAGATTAGAGCCCAACTGGGAGTAGCTGTGCAGTATGAAATGGGGGCTGCATTTGAAGATCCTTTCAAGTGATACACATTGGGTTGAATCATAGAATCATAGAATCAAAGAGTTGGAAGAGACCTCATGGGCCATCCAGTCCAAGCGTTTCTCCCCTTGGGAGGCCATGAGGAGGTGAATATCCTTTCTCATATATGACAAATAAAGAAAGGGTGAACAGGTGAGTCCAAAACATTTGCATATATGTGCAAATTCTCTTGTTGGTGGGGACATACACCTTCTCACTCACAGTCTATTTGTTGCTAGACATCTTGATGCAGGTCTACACTATGCATTTGGATGTGAGGGCTTCATGCAACTCTCACTTTGTATGCAGGCATGTGACATGGATGGGAACTGATGTTTCCATGTTTTTTGTGTTTCACTGTACGTAGGAATGTGCTTACCCATGCTACCTGCTGAGGTTTAATTCCAGGACATTCCATGGATACCAAAACCCATAGATATTCAAGCTCCATTATATACAATGGCCTTTATCCATTTTGCTGGTTAAAGAATCATTATAAAAAGCTTATTGTGCTGAAAAAAATTTCTCCTGGTGTTTTACACCAATAAAATTTATTGGGGTAATTTCATGGTTTTTTTTTTAAAAGACAGAGAGAGAGAGAGAACTATTTCATGCACTTAAGAGCTTCTGGTTAGAATGCATTATGTTAGTACTTAGAAATGGACTCCAGCCCTTTGTCTTTCCTTTTTATCTTGAATGTTCACTTCACAATACTTAAAAAACAGCATGCTTTGTAGTGAATTGAAATGATCAACACGAAAGTGATCATGCCCCTGACTAGAATTTAGTTTTTAATAGAAATGACATGGTTTCTCATTCATCCTAGAACCTTGCATGCTTCCTTCCTTCTCTTTCACCAACGTCTGCTCAAATGGTCCACTTCTGTTAATCCCTCAATCTTTTTGAATCATCATTATTATTATTTGAAACACAACAAGATGAGTCCACAGCAGACACTCTGCTGTTGAATTGGATCACACGTTGGACACTTCCCAAGTGTCTAGGACTGTGTGATGTATCGGCGAATAATGCGTGCAGATCCCAGTAAGGTGGCCTTCAGCTGACAGATAGTAATTTTTTCAGCACCGATTGTGTTTAAGTGCAGGCCAAGGCCTTTAGGCACTGCACCCAGTGTTCCAGAGTCTTTGCAGTTCAATCTTTAAATCCTCATATCGTTTCAGCTTTTCCAGTTGTTTCTCTTCAATCCCGCTGTCGCCTGGAATTGCAACATCGACAATCCATACTTGGTTTTTTAACAAAGTGAGGTCAGGAGTATTATGCTGCAAAACTCTGTCTGTCTGAATTCAGAAGTCCCAGAGTAGCTTGACGTGTTCATTCTCACTTTTTCCAGCTTTTGATTCCACCAGTTCTTTGTCACAGGCAGATGGTATTTGTTTAATTATTTATTTATTTATTTATTTATTTATTTACTTTGCTTATATACCGCTGTATCTCAGCCCGAAGGCGACTCACAGCGGTTCACAAACAGTAAAAACAGTAGAAACAGCAGTGGTTCCATACAACATATAACAATTGACTTAACACATTATCCATAAATTACCAATAAGCAATTACAATGCACAATTATTACAAAAAACAACCTTACCCAATCTTCTCATCATCCAAGCGTAGTCCAGGTTCGTCGTCCATTGTTCCATTCCTATGTTCCATTACCAGATTCCACTAAATTACTCAAACGCCTGCACAAACATCCAGGTTCCATTGTTCCATTCCTATGTTCCATTACCAGATTGTACTAAATTACTCAAACTCCTGCACAAACATCAGGTCTTCACCTTTTTGCGGAATACCATTAGAGATGGTGCTAGTCTAATGTCCGTAGGAAGGGCGTTCCACAGCCGAGGAGCCACCACCGAGAAGGCCCTATCCCTCGTCCCCGCCAGACGTGCTTGAGAAGCAGGCGGGATCGAGAGCAGGGCCTCCCCGGAAGATCTCAAAGTCCTGGTGGGTTCATAGGCAGAGATGCGGTCGGATAGGTAGCTTGGGCCGGAACCGTTTAGGGCTTTAAAGGCCAACGCCAGCACTTTGAATTCAGCCCGGTAGCAGATCGGTAGCCAGTGGAGTTGGCGCAACAGGGGGGTTGTATGCTCCCTGCGCTCCGCTCCTGTTAAAATCATGGCTGCCGAGCATGAATCATCTGAGCAACGGTGTTATGCCTCTGCTTCTAGTCTGTCGGCGCGATCTTCTTGCAGCAGCTGAGGATGTGATCTATTGTTTCATCTGCTTCCTTGCAGAGTCTACATTTGGGATCTGTTGTTGACTTTTCAATTCTGGCTTTGATGGCATTGGTTCTAATGGCTTTTTCTTGGGCTGCCAGAATCAGGCCCCCGTCTCCTTTTTCAGAGTTCCATTTGTAAGCCACAGCCATTTTTTTCTTTGTCAATTTGTCTCTCAATTTTTCCCAGGAACTGTCCATGGAGAGTATTATTGTTGTTGTTGTTGTTGTTGTTGTTGTTGTTATTATTATGCAATCCCTGTATTTGCATGTATGAATACTTTGAACTCAAGTCTAAACAAAACAATCATTGTATAAAACAATCATTTATGTTTTATATACACTTATATATGTAGTCTAACAGTAATTTATATAATAATATAACTAATTTTGTGCCTTAAACAAAGTACATTGAATCACCACAAAGCAAATTTTACATTTTTTCAGACACCCATGTAGATAATTTTGGAGTATTTTGGATTTCCAGATAAGGAATATTCAACTTTTACTTGTTTGATGGAATGTGCATCTGACCTATGACATATTTTTAGATACTAGCAGTCCAGTTCTGCACATTCTGCTCATGGGGTTTACTCCCACACGAATAAGTATAACATTGCATTTTAAACTGGCAAAAGCAATGTGTGTGTAATCAGACAGTAATAAGAGAAGTAAGCCTGAAAAGAACCATTCTGTGCACAAGTTTGCTTTTTACTCTCTTCTGATTTTCTCTCACATGGATTCTTTTACAAGGCCTCTTTGAAAATCAGATTTCTTCATAATTTCATATTGTTAATGGATATTTTGCAAAGACAATATTTGGAGTGGATTTCCTGTTTCCCAGTCTCTAGCCAGATCAGAACTGCAGACAAAGCTGATTTTCATTCTGAAGTAACAAACGGATGTGGATTACCATAGTAGCTATTTTTAACACACATACATCTAAG